CAAGGCCTCAAACAATGAGGCAGAATATGAAGTATAGCGATCCCGATTTTTCCTTTTTGTATTTGTTGTACTCCGGAACTTTGGTTCCGTGGAGTTGGTAGTTGTGTATCTTGTTGTTGTCCTTTAATTCCCTATGTTTGAATTTTAGGATGTGTTGGGCGTGTTTCGAGCAGGTAGGTTGAGTCTTGTTATCAAGTGTTGTTGCCTAGAGTTTTGGTGTTACGCTCGAGCGGGCCATTCTGCGCTCGAGCGAAGTTTGCTTTTGGTTGACCGCTCGAGCGGGTCTTCTTGCGCTTGAGCGGAGTTTACACACTTCTAGTATTTCGTGCCTCTGCCAAACTTCTGCAGGTATGTTTTTCACGCTCAAGCGGGTTTTCTTACGCTCGAGCGGGTGGAGCTCGAGCGGACCTATTGGCGCTCGAGCGGGTAGTGTTTTGTCTATAAAAGTTCTGGGAGAGGGAAATCTACGCTCGAGCGGATTGGTTTTCGCGCTCGAGCGGATGTGCTTTATCTCTGTGTCTTGGAGCTCGAGCGGGCCTTCTTGCGCTCGAGCGGACCATGCTTTTTGTTCTTGATGCTCGAGCGTTGTGTTTTCCGCTCGAGCGGACCTGTCGTATATCAGATAGCAGTTGGGCATTTTTGAATCACTTTTCACTTTTCTTCTCTCTCTCTAACTTTCCCAAAATCGATTTTGAGAGCTTCTCTCTCTAGAAACTCCATTCTCTTTAGGGTTTGATCTAGATAGAGTGCTTACTTTCCCTTCGGCCTTTGTAAAAGTTGTGTTGATCGTCAAGGGCGTCGTTTTGATCCGAAAAGTTTGGAGTTTGGAGCACTTTGGTTTTGGTCTCTTCTCCGTTTGAGCTCTATCTTCGAGGTAGGAATATCCTACTCCTTCTCATGAGTTTTGTCTTTGAATTTTAGCATTTTGATGAGTTGGGGGTTGTTGGGTAATTTTGAGAAAGTTTGGGCCTTTGTGTAATTTTACAAAACGTTGGAGTTTTGTTTATATAAATTTATATGCATGTTTGGCATAGAGAAATGAGATTAATATTGGATTATTGGTGAAAATGGAACCTTAGGGTTGTGATGTTAATTATGAGAAATGCTCTAATTACATTGATAAATTAATTGGTATAATTAATTTGAAGAAAAGAGGAATTAAGTTGAGAATGTTGGAATTGGATGTGTATGGGATTAAAGGGTGTAGTTAGATTCGTTCATCGCTCACCTAGTTGAAATGTTGATTATATATCCATATGGTGCATTTATTTTCAGTATAGAAATAACTGCTTTGGGCTATCGGTGGAGGATAGTCTTCATTGTTGTAGACACTGCATGATGATTAGGCAAACTAAAACTAATCGATTGAGTATGCTATTGAATATAGCGACTGGAATAATACATTAATTCTATGTATTGATTGATTGTATATGATCTTTGTTTATATACATGTGTTGTGTGGGAGAAGATAGGGGATGTACTACACGGTTTAGGGGAAGATAGGGGATGGACCTCTAAACCGGATTTTGTGTGACATTGATATAGCGCTACAATGTGTATCAAGTGTTGATTATGGAAGTGTTTGAATTGATTTGATATAGCACTAAAATGTATATCGTTATCAATTGTGGAGTATAGAAGTGATTCTATGTTATGTTGATACAGCACCGAAATGTGTATCTTTCGCAAAGTGTGGAATGGTTTATGTGTTATTGATACAGCATTAAAATGTGTATCCCTCATGAATTTCGAAAGTGTTTTAAAGATGAGTCTAAATCTCATTAAGTTATTTGGCTAGGTGTTGAGCCCTATTTTCAAACTCAAAGTTGGAAAGACATGGGAAATGAAATGTAACATGGACTTAATGTCATGAAACCGAAATATGATATATGTGGATGTATCTGTGTTAGCCATCTATCAACTGCTAATCTTTTAGTCATTGTTCATAGCTGGTTTAGTGTATTTCTACTGGGCTGTGGCTCACCCTTTATGGGACATCATTTTCAGGTACAGGTAGCATGCCACCTCCAAAGACATAGCTTGGGAGGCTAGAGGCAGACAAACTACTTTTGTTGTTTGTTTTCTTTTGATGTATTACATGTAAATTCAAGCCAAGGACTTAATATGTATCGAGTTAGCACTCTTCTTTTTGTAACCAAGTGTTAACTTGGAAAGTTGTAAGCCCGTAGGGCATTTGCTTTTGTTGTTAACATGTAATACTTTTGTAAGAATTACTTTGATTAATGGAAAGATGGTTGGTTTCTTTGTATCAATGCATGTCTAAAGAGATGGATTTTATGTATTATTTTAAGGGCGTTACACGAAGCATTGATTGCAGGACTAAAGCTGGAAGTGGCAGCAGAAGCAGATGAGGTAATAATTTTTTGTGATTCACAACTTATAGTAAATCAAACAACAGGAGAGTTTGTAACCCGAGATGAGAGGATGTCGGCATACACAAAGGAAGTCATCAGGCTGGCAGCCTTGTTTCGTAACTGCCGACTTCTGCAAGTTAGCCGAGATGATAACAGCCACGCCGACGCATTGGCCAACTTGGCAAGTTCAATACAAACTGGAAAAGCAAGGACAATAATGGTTGACTATTTGTCAAACCCGAACATAGAACCACCGATCACAGAACAAGAAGCAATGTGTGTGGACTTGGGACCAAGCTGGATGGATGTGATTGTTGCATTCCTAAAAGAGGGAAAACTGCCAGAAGACCATAAGGAAGCACACAAGGTCAGATTGAAGTCGGCAAAATTCAATCTGACAGCGGACGGACATCTCTACAGAAGGTCCTTCACTAGACCCCTTTTAAGGTGCGTACACCCTTTGCAGGTTGAAGATTTTCTATATGAAATTTGTGAAGGGGTTTGTGGAAGCCACGTTGGGGGCAGATCACTAGCTCACTGGGCCATTACCCAGGGGTATTGGTGGCCCTACATGCAAAAAGATGCAGAAGCCTACGTGAAGAAGTGTGAACAATGCCAAAGGTTCGCCCCTTTGATACACCAGCCAGCTGCTGACTTGAACCCTGTATCCAGTCCATGGCCATTTGCCCAATGGGGCATGGATCTCATTGGGCAGTTGCCCCAAGTAACTGGGCAAATGAAGTACTTGCTGGTAGCAACAGATTACTTCACAAAGTGGATAGAAGCAGAACCTCTTGCCAAAATCCGAGATGTGGACGTCAAGAACTTCATATGGAGAAACATCATCACCAAATTTGGCATTCCAAGGGCAATAGTTGCCGACAATGGAACGCAGTTTGATAGCAAACTTATCAAAAACTTATGTGCAAAATTCAAGATAAAGAATTACTTTTCAACACCAAGCTTTCCCCAAAGCAATGGGCAAGCAGAAGTATCCAACAAAATAATTTTGGATGGGATAAAGAAGAGGCTGCAAGCAGCAAAAAAAAAGTGGGTAGACGAGTTGCCCTATGTACTCTGGGCATATCGGACTACGCCGAGAAGATCAACAGGGGAAACCCCTTTTGCCATGGCTTACGGCACAGAAGCAGTCATCCCACTGGAGATCGGCATCCCAGGGATCAGAACTCAGGAAGTAGAGAATGGGACTAATGACATACTTCTAACCCGGGATCTAGATCTCTTAGAAGAACGAAGAGAGAAAGCTGCAGTTCAGCTCGCAGCATACTAGTAGTAGCTTGCTAGAGCTTACAATAAGAGGGTCAATCCAAGGGATTTTTAGGTCGGCGACCTAGTCCTAAGAAAAGTTGTTGGCAACAAGAAGGATCCCAGAGAGGGCAAGCTTGGCCCAAACTGGGAAGGACCCTACAGAATTACTTCGGTATTAGGCAATGGAGTATACCGGCTTGAAGATAATGAGGGCAACGCATTGCCAAGACCCTGGAACACTTGTAATTTGAAAATTTTCTATCATTAGCTATTCCTTGTTATTTTTTCTTTTTGCCGACGTCATCAATAAAATCTTAGCAGAATTTTCCAAGACTTGTGAGTTGATAAAAGATGCATAATGTTATTTCTGAATAATGAGAACCCAAGTGGAACTTAGGTTCACATTGGGGGCAGAGAGAAGATACAAATGCTTAACTCTTATTGAAATTTATAGCAATTTACAAGTTGAAGCTAAGCCTAGATTATTGTTTATCTTAACTTGTTGAAATTTGTAGCAATTTACAAGTTGAAGTTAAACCGAAGTAATGCTTAACGCTTGTTGAAATTTGTAGCAATTTACAAGTTGAAGTTAAGCCGAGATTATTGTTTATCTTCACTTGTTAAAATTTGTAGCAATTTACAAGTTGAAGTTAAACTGAAGTAATGCTTAACGCTTATTGAAATTTGTAGCAATTTACAAGTTGAAGTTAAGCCGAGATTACTGTTTATCTTTACTTGTTGAAATTTGTACCAATTTACAAGTTGAAGTTAAACCGAAGTAATACTTAACGCTTGTTGAAATTTGTAGCAATTTACAAGTTGAAGTTAAACCAAAATAATACTTAACGCTTGTTGAAATTTGTAGCAATTTACAAGTTGAAGTTAAGCTGAAATTATTGTTTATCTTCACTTGTTGAAATTTGTAGCAATTTACAATTTGAAGTTAAGCCAAGATTATTGTTTATCTTCACTTGTTAAAATTGATGGACAATTTACAAGTTGAAGTTAAGCCGAAATCATTATTTAACACTTGTTGAAATTTGTAGACAATTTACAAGTTAAGTTAAACCAGTATGATGTTCAACATCTGTTAAAAGTTTACAAGAAATTTGTCTATCCAAGGTGTGTCACCCTGAGAAGATTACACAAAGAAGGAAGAGTACATAAGACATGCGAAATATTCTAAGTATATAATCATGCAAGAGCAGTTAGAAGAAGACAAAGATACAAGCATTCACTGAATGAAAGTTGTGTTAAGCATTCAGTTGAAACAGGAGAACATCGGCCATATGAAAAAGCTTACATTGTCTAAGGAAACAAAACAGTACAAAAGACAAAACAGGAAAAACATGAAAATTAAGCTTCATCAGCATCAACAGCAACTTGGGTTTGGACCTCGGAAGGTTCTAAAAGAGCTACCTCGGCCGCCTTCTCCTCTGCAATCTCGGCATCAATCTGGGCAAGGGTTTCATCAATGCTTTTGTCGGCTACAGGAATGTCGGAGGATGCCTGCTCCGGGGTAGTTTCCTTGACAACTCCATCGCCCTCTTTATCTTGAGTCAAGTCCAGGACTTGCTCATTTTGAAGAAGGGACTTGGCCCCATCAACATCTTTGGGTTTTCTCACCAAAGACTCATCCTCTTCCTCGTCACCATCCTCAGACTCAGATTCACCGACGTCTTGATTTGAAGGTTGAGCTGGAGGGAATGGAAGAGGGATGGCATCGGCTTTCCTCAACGGTGAGTCCTCTGGGACATTGAGTTTTTTCAGAAGAGACATCCAACCAAGGGTGAAACCCTTGTTGTATGCCTGCTTCATTTGAAGTTCATAGGCCTCAGTAACGTCGGCCATGCCTTGAGTGTACGCCTTTTCATCAGCTTCTTTTATTTCGGTGTCCTTGGTGGCCAGGGCTTCTTGAAGCTCTTTTTCGGCTTGGACCATTCTTTCCTCGGCTTCTCTCTTCTGAGATTCAGCCACTTTTCTGATAGCCTCAGCAGCCTCAGCCTTCTCTTCGGCATTGTTCTGAGCTTTGATCGCAGCCTTGGCTTGGTCTTCCAATTTTTTCATCTTTGCTTGTAAGCCTTTGTTAGTCTTTTGGAGGGAAGAGAACTCCCTCTTCATCTCAACAAGCCTCTCCCGATTCTCAAAAGACTGCATTGAGAAAGAGTGGGCATGCTGGATGGCCTGAAAGAAAACAGAAGTATTAGAGAATATTCAAAGTATGAAATAAAGGGAAGGAAAGAAGAAAGTTACCACATAGAAGACATTTACCTGAACGGAGTGCTGAAGCATTAAAGCGTAGTTCTCATACTCACTATATTAGGCGTTTCGCTCTAGATCGCCTGGAAGAAGCAGAGCGGTACTGAGTGCGACGCCGACGTTTATATCATCGGCGCTATCACTTGCCATGACAGGCTTGTCTTCCAGAGTAATTGTGGGGGACCATGGGGCATCGGGCTTTTTTGATCCCGAAGTTATTGCAGAAAAAGACCTCGACTTTTTTGGTTGTTGGGATTCTGGTGGTTGAGACTCAGAGCGCCTCTTCCCAACGGAAGGCTGAGATTTATCACTTTCAACCAACTTTGAAATAGGCAGAGTGTCTTCAGACTCAACCTGAGCTACCTTAGCCTTTGGTTAAGCCTTTTTTATTCTTTTTGGCTTTGGTGGAGGAAGGGTTTGTGTTGGCTGCCCATCAACAGATGATGGAATACTGGCCAAAAGATCTTTTGCAACAGGCTTAGGGCGACCCATCTCGGCAGTAAGGACAAGTCGTCGCCGACGTTTTCGTTCTGATATTGGGACCAGGTATGGAGCCGAAGTTGATGGTTGATCAGCTGGATCAGATGTTGATCCTTGATCTGTTCGTGATGTAGATGCAGTCAACGGAGTTGTAGCAGAGGGTGGAGAAAGGCTTTTCTTCTTCCTTTTGGGAACGTCGGGCAAAGTTGACTTGTATGATGGAATGAAATTGAGAAGCACAGGCGCTTTCCTTTTATGGACTGGTAAGTCCAGAAGTTTCTTCAAGTCCTTGCTAGGGACAAAGGATTGGCGAAAATTTTTCAGTGGCTGACGAACAGCTGCAAGAAGAACAGACGTCAGAAATAGACAAAGTATTTAAGACTTTGAAAGAAAACAGGCAAAGCTGAATACTGGGCTCTTACCCTTGCCCTCTAAAACTGATCGGGGAAGAGGGTAGAAATGGATGTCCTCGTCTGGAGCAAACTCCCAATTTCCCGAGGTAATGAGATAGTCATCTCCAGCCCCCTTGTTGGAGTCTGGGAGGTCGGCTACGATTTTGAATTCTGTAGACCTCGGCTTAAGGTAATAAATATAGCCTTTTTCTTTCAAATTAAGGGCACACATGGTATAGCAATACTAGATATCGGCTAGGGTGATCCTAGCGTTTTCCTGTTTAGCTAAGGCTATGGCACCAAAGATCACTCGATAGGAGTTGATTGCCAGTTGCATGGGGTTCAACTTATAATAGTGAAGAATCTCACGAAAAAGGATGTTGAGTGGAAGCCGAAGTCCGCACTTAGTAAAAGCTACAATGGGAAAGGGCATGGAGTTTTCTGTAGGCATGATGGAGTCATCATCCCCAGCCAGCCTCAGATGGATATCGGCAGGGATGGAGAACTCTTGTCTAAAGTACTCAAGTTTGGTCGGGGTATCTACCCTATGTCTCTACATACCCATGATATCGGCCTGAATTAGAAGGGTTGAAATTCAAAAAGAAGATGTTTCTTATTGATGGGACCTCGGCAAAAACCTAGATTTGGGCTGGTACAGAAATTTGTAAGGAATGTTTCAATTTTGCCCTAAATCGTGGGTTCTACAAACAAATCCCAAACCTAAAACTATGGAGATGAGGATCAAAGGCACAGATCTGGAAAAGACACAAAAAACAGAAAGCAAGAATGGAATTTCAGAATCAAGAACAGAGATGGTTTATCAAGAGCATAAAGAATACAAGAAATACAGGGCCAAGATTAGTGACAAAGATACAGGGAAGTAGTGAAACAATGTGTGTGTTCAAGATATGGGCAAGGGCAAAATCATGGGAAGGACACAGTCAAGTGTATGAATCGCAAATTAAAAGTTTCAATAGATGCAGTAAAGGCAACAAGTAATGAAGAATGTCAACAGAATTGAAAACGAAAGGAACAGTAGCTTACCAGAAAAAAGTGAAGCCGGTATGAAGATTGCCGAAGTCAGACGACAGTTACAGATGTAACGAGAACGACGAAAGCTTCACAGGAATGGAGAACGGAAGACAATTGTACAGCTTGGAGCTTGAGCAATGGCAGATTCGAAAGAAAGAGTTTAGAGAGAGAAAAAACAAGAGAAATCAGATGCAAAAGTAGAAAAATGAAGAAAGGGGGAAAGGTTTTGTCAAAAATGAAAACGGCGGCAAAAAATAATCAATACGCCTAGAAGAACGTATACTTCAGACGGTGCACGTGAGAAAGAGACGGCTTATGGGCGCGTCACAGGTACAAACCAGTAAGAAAGAAACGCGTGATTAAAAATGGTTGAATTATGGTGTATGACAGCTCATACGTGTGGAAGGGTTCTTGAAATTCTTGTTCTTCAATAAAAGGATATCGGCCAAAATAATGATCTCGGCTGAGATACTGAAAACCGACGTACTGGAAAAACGGAATGATATAGGTTCCATCACCTCAAATGCCGAGCAGTTGTCGGGATATATTTTCTGAATACCAACACGTGGCAGGGTGACGTCGACGTGTCAGCCGAGGTGCCACGTGTCCTGGTCGTGACGCTGAGGTGATCTCGGCAAGGCCAAGGTTATCTCTGAAGATATCGGAATCCGAGATAAGAGGATAAAAGATAAGGGACAAGAGTCCTTGAATAAAGAGGAGATTTAGCCAAGATAAGGATAAAGCTCTTAGAGAGTTTATCTTTATCTCTTGAGGAGTCCAAAGTGAGTACTGAATTAGAGTCCATAGAAGTGAGGCTTCTAGTGGGACTATGATTAAGTAAACTATAAAATAGAGGCACTCCCGTGGGTCTAAGGTACGCAATTTATGCTTTTGATACTCAAGCTTGCACTTGATTATCTTTGGGAGATATACTGACTTGATCGTCGGAGTGCCCCCGGGTGGTTGAACTACCGCCGGAGACTTCTCTTTCTGTTGCAGGTTAACTAGAGGCCATCTATTCTGTCAATGCTTTTCCAGCTGATTACTAGGCGGGCAGTGTGATCAGAAAATCACTCACACAATATTAAATGCTTAGAATATTGTTTTCAGATGTTTGTGCATGGTGTTCTTGTGCTTGAATGAAAGAAGTTGAGTTTTGATTGCTTCATTGTTAGTATTCTCTCTTTGTTGTAGAAAAGTCACATATCTCTACCTATAGACAGAGTTTGAATATTTCATTAATAACTAAAAATATAGAAAAATGATCTCACTTCTGTAAATTGATTTTGAAACTAGACAAAATTCTCTACAAAAACCCTAAAGAGGCCGAGTTCAGAAAAAATCTAAAAATGCCATTTTGATAGTTATCTTTAAAATAAATCAAATCTGAAAATTTATAAATTTTAGTAATTTTATACTCTTATTTGTTTGGATGTGCCTCTTATTGTTTGTTCAAACTTTTGTATAACATCTATGTATGTTTTGACTATATCTCTTTATATTTTTGTCCTAAAATGCCTATATTTGTATAGTAAATGTTATTTCGATCGTTGTTCTAACCTTAACATAACACACCTAATTCAATGGGAAACTTAATAAGGGTGGTATTGGATTTTCAATCAATAAGGTAAATTTTGTAAGATAATGGCATGTTGATTTCAAGTATTGATTGATGGGATGTATTTCCTATTCGGGGGTTAAGTATTGTGCAAGTGTGTTTTCGAACCCTAATGTGACACAGGAGGTATTTTGGCTACTTAACGGATTTGGGCGGTATAAGGGTAGCAGTGAGCGTTTCACACAAGAAGAGTATCCCTAGAATCCTATTCCCTTGGGGCAGACCATGATGTCACCACTTGGGTATATAACCTAGGTGCGTGGGTATCATTGATAATTGTATGGTAAGCGACGCACTAGTGGTTATGCAATAAATGATGCATTGGTATTTGTTTAACTAAGGGGAAGTCAGAATTGCCCGTAGCCAGTGTTAGTGGTTGGGTAGGAACAACATTCTGCAGGAAATTGCCTATAACTAATTTGATTGACCGTTATCTTTAAGAACTGAAATTTTTATTATAAGCTCTGATAATTTTTGTTTCCGTTGTATATTATGATCGTTCTATTATTGTGTATTGCATTGGAAAAATAGAATGAGGTGTATGTGCATTTACTGGACATTCACTACTAAAAATTAGAGCTTTTGCAACGATCATAAACATCGCAAAAGGTTCGCATATCGTCACAAAAGACTTTTTGCGACGAAGTAGGGACGGGAAATGGGAGGTGGCAGAAGGAGGCGTGACAAAAAGTATTTGCGATGGTTACAAACCGTTGCTTTCTTGTAGCGACGGCTAATCAATAGTTTTTGCGACGGTTTAACCTGACACAAAAAAGGAGGGAAAAACTTCATTTTTAGTGACGAAGTTGATTACCGTCGCCAAAAACCTTTTTTGCGACGATGTTTGACGTTGCAAAAAATATGATTAACGACGGTCTAAAACGTCACCACAAAAAGTAAAATTAAATTAATACCGTATTTGCGACGGTTTAAACCATCGCCAAAGATTGGAATTATTATGTATATGCGACAGGTTAACCTGTTGCTAATAAAATATAAGGAAATGATGATTACATTAACGACAATTTATAAAATGCAATAAAATTATTTTCATAAAATCATATTTTATTAATTTATTCCTTGTACAAATTATTAATAGTTTCTAAAATACAATACATCCACATCCACATCCATACCCCCATTCGCATCCCCATCCACATCCGCATCCGTATTCACATTCACATTCACAAAATCATATACCAAGAATAATAAATATGTACCCTATAACAATTGTCAACCAAATATTCTTTACAAAAATATATAAAACAACCTCCAACAATACTAAAAAAAATTTATATTCAAGAACTCAAATTTTTAGTATCGACAATACAAATAAAAAA